TACGTAGAGGCCATATACAATATGCATTTATCACAGAGGCAGTTTAATTTTTATTTTCTAACAAAAACATCTGCGGCTGTGGGCCTGACTCAGTTTAAAAACTAGGAGTCTTGCTGTTTTTTATACAATGAGGCAAATGAACAATAAAATAATATAAGGCACAACAAACAGAGAACAAATGTTAGAAAAAATGTTTTATATATAATAAGCTAGGCAGAAACCAGTCACACAAAAAGGATACAGAGCAGAGAATTTCAGGAGATCGGTTGCTCAACATTGCTAAATGTTGCTGTTACATGAATTTGAATCATGCACTGAAAACCCCTTTTCATATGCATTTAATTCAACGTTTCTGCTTTCTGCACACAATCAGCTGGCAAAGTATAGTGTAGGTCCACAGGTCATGTTGTCTTTGCACCGTTGTCACTGAGGCAGCCACCTGTATGAACTAACTTGCAGCTGAGATAGGAGGCAGCTTGTGCCAGGGACTTTCCACAACCCTGTGTGTGTATGTGTGTGCGTGCGCATGGTCCTTTTTTGACAGTCAGTGCATGTTTCTGCATTTGGGTGTGTGCATAAGTGTTCGGGTGTGTAAAGGGCACTGTGGTGCAGACAGACAGTGAGTGAGTGTGTGAGCGTAGTGTGAACTGCAAAAAGTGTAAGAAAACATGCAGATGAGCTTGTGCAGTTGTGTAGCAGAGATCATAATTGTGCATAAAGGACTTTTGATGCATGTAAATATAGTCTGAGATCAAATGAAACAATATGATTTGGATGCAAAAGAGATGCTGAAGTATCAATGAGGAGCCATATAAGCAAAATATTATCATGTAGCATGCAAACCTATAGTAAAGGATATAAGCCTATAATAAATGAACTTACCACCAAAGGAATGTGGAAATAAAATAGCATCTTATCACTAAAATGACAATGCCTGTCATTCCAGAGTGTCCATAATAGATGTAGAGGCTTTGTCTCGGAGTAGATAGGCTCTGTTTTTAAATTGTAGCCCACGGAAGAAACTAACACTAAGGGGGTGAGAGTGGAGACCAGGCTGTACTGGAAATCCCCTTCCCTCAGCAGGCCTGCCTTACAGGGCTCTGCTGAGGCCCACATCAAAGGGGCTGCTGCTGTTCTCACCATCCTCCCTCCTTCTGACTTTTTATATGTCTCACCATCCTTCTGTGCCTTGACTTCCTCACCTCCGTCTCTGTTTCCATTTATATCATTTATATACATCTGTTTTATGTGTGTGTCTAAGTCTCTGAGGAGCTCTGCGGACCAACGGTTTCCCCACCCTTTTTCTCAGCACCTGTATCTCTTGGAAATTTGGTGTGACATGCTACTAACCTACCTGGCTATTTTTGTGTATCAGCCAGATAGCAGAATGTTCTGCATGTTATTTTGTGTCAACAAAACAAACTGTACATATGAACTGTTTTTAAACAGTACTTTACAAGTGACTAAACTGCATGTGCACGCTGATTAATCACAGAGTTGATGTATCAGCACATTTGCTTTGAGTAACTCAGAAGTGAAATTGCTTGCTAAACTGGTCAACCCAGAACACTAAACACCTCCTGTCCCCACCCGCGGCACTGAAAAGCCACAAATATGTCCAAAATGCTTGAAGCAGCAAGCACCTCAAGGCCAACGCATGGACGCATAGGTGGGGGACTGGCACATGAAAGGTGAAGCAAAGGTTGGGACAGACCCTTGAGCAAAAAAGGCGGCCATACACTGTAAAAAAAAACAAAAAAAACAGAGAAAATCGAAAATGAAAATGATCAAGGCAACATAATGCAATCGATTTTTGGAGTTTTCTCAATTTTTGACTACTTTTGTTGATTTTACTAAGGTTTGCAAGTTTAGACAATAGTTCTGCTGACTTGAATCTTCTTGTTCACTAAATTGTATTTCTGAGGCTAACAATGAAATTCTTGGTTTAATGCCTTAGATTTCTACTTTCAACAAACACAAATAAAAGGATATTTTATGCGGTTGTAATTGCATTCAAGGAACACTCAATAAGTAAACATAAATAAAGACCACACAAGTGAAAGTTTGCCAAAACCTTGTTTATTCCACAGCATCACATGCTGGCAAACATGAGGGTTAACAGTTAAAACACAAAAATTTAAGTTTGGCCTCACCTGATTTTATTTATAGAGGAAAACTTTTATCTCACTGAAGCAGGAATTGTGTGTTTATTCAACAAGAATATCTGTGCTTGTTGAAAGTAGAAATGCATGACAATGAAACAAGAATTTAATGGTTAGCTTCACAGGAATGTAACTGAGTGAACAAGTTGGTAGAACTATTGTCTAAACTTGTAAACCTTAGTAAAGCCAACAAAAGTAGTCAAAAGCTGAGAAACCTCAGAAATCTACTGCATTGTGTTGCCTTGATAAGCTGCATTTTTCTCAGCTTTTTAGTGTATAAGCGTACATGCACACATTTGAGGCTGCGCCAGGAAGACACTAAATTGCAAGAATGGCACTGAGGATCCTCAACTCTGGATTTTCCCTCTTAATCAGTGGATGTATGACTGATGTGTGTCTCACATCTTCCAGAAGGAAGCCGCTCAAGCACCAATTGTTTTATAGACCAGTGATGCACCATCAAATCTGTTTCTCATAATCAGATTCCAAATATAATAACACAAAAAGATCAACGTGAATTTAGTCACGCTTTCCATCCACAACTGTTTTACTATTTTGTTATCATGTGCTTTATCTTCATGCTCATGGTGTTACAGGCCCATAGTAACTGCACTTAATCTTGTCTGTAAATACACCACTGCCCCCTAGTGGACTGATATTCTCTTTACCAACCAGCAACAACTGGACACTGAAAAGTAAGGTCTGGAAAAAGTGAAAAATGTTTACATACAGTACTAGACAGTGTAATCACATACTGTAATAATGTAAATACAAAGTAAAGGGTTATGAAAAACTAAAGATACACAGAAAAACTAATAAACTGTATAGTGATCCTAGTCAATATGTGGTTTTATGCCAAACATCTCATGTGTTACATTTAACATGTTTATTTTTGCTGTTGATATTACTATTTCATGTGCATTTATAACAATTTATGCTAAGAATAAAAGAGCTGCAGATCTTAGCAGTTAAAGCGGAAAAAGTCTCACATAATTACACTATTATAATTCACCCTAGTCAACCAGACAAAGTCCCATTTGTACGTGGAAACTAATACCTAACGTATCGGTTCAAGGGCAACGTATGAAATCAGAAAGACAAATCTCATCTGAGTCTTCAGGTATGTGTTTTTCAAGAATCCAGGTCTATTTCAATTAAATAACTCTGACTTGGCCTTGCCAAAAATATTTTTCTGTGATATCTCATTGAAACTTGTCTCTTGTGCTTTTGAATGATACATGCCAGCATGATGAACTAGCAACAGTTTCATGACTGCGTACTTGGCAGTGAGCTGCAGCCTGTCCGTGGGTGGTATTTGTCTGTCAGTGTGGATGTTGTGTGAGGCTGCCTTGTGCGGCCTGGCTGTGGCACAGAATGACTTCACTATGAGCTGTCTCATCATGGCACGACCATAATGACATGGTGCAACATGTATTCAGCCATCAAATGGAGGATCATCCCCCAACAGGCTTTGCTTTCATAGCTTTCTTGTGAGTGCGCATAATAAATTGTGGTGGCTGTGGATCACGAGGTAGGGCAAGTCGTCTTCTGACCAGCAATTTGGTGGTTCGACTCCCGGTCTCCCCACATGCCTAAGTGTCCCTGAGCAAGACACTGAACCCCAAATTGCTCCTGATGGCTTGACTAGCGCCATTGTGTGGCAGCCTTGTCGTCATCGGTGTGTGAATGGTGTATAATCTCCCTGTAAAGCGCTTTGGCCAGTGCATAAAAGCGCTATATAAATACAGTCCGTTTACCAATAAGTCAGTCCAAATATATACAGTAATTTCACTGCTTGTCAAAATAGGCAGCAGGTCAGTTCTACCATTGTTTTCCAGAAAACAACTATTACGCTGAAAGGGGAACTTAACATTCCTGGAAGAATCACTGCCAAGTGTTTCCAATATAGGTCAGTGAGTCTGCCAGTATCTCCAAAAAAATACTGGTGAAGTGGCTTATTCCACTAGTGCTAATATTAGCATGCCAGTTTGCCAAACTAAAACAAAGCAAATGGTAAACGTTATACCTGTTTAACATCAGCATTGTGATTGTTAGCTATGTTACATTACTGCCAATTGCTGCCATTATTTACTACTACTTCATCTCAGGATACTGTGCATGCACGTTTGCTGCTACTGTACAGTACATTAAGGCCCACTTGGCTACCTTGTCCTACATTATTATTCTACGCTGCTCACTTCATACTGTATATAGTTATTTTGGATGTTATCATTTCGCTTATAGCCCTGCCCTAAATGTAACTTCACAGAGCAAACAGTGTGGCTGTGTTGCTTGTTATATAAAGGACAACAAAACATTCGCCATCAAAATGTATAATGACTGAGATTTTTGCAGCGTACTTTCCCTTAGGTAATCATTCTGTCAGCTGAAGACACAAAACCAGGTACTGTCAGGAGACGTCCCATCATGCTCACAAACACTATGTGTTTATCATTGCCTTAACAAATTAAATGCTGGGACAATCACACCACCACTGAACTGACAAGCTCTCCCTTAGCCCGCTGTCCATTTGTTAACGTGACCAAGGCAGTGAGGGTGTGACTGTTGCCAAGGTTGTTCTGGACCACAAGAACCCGCTGAAAATGGTGACACTGCGGCGAGTAGACAGGGTCTGTGACCTCAGAGCTGACTGCACACAGAATAACAGAGGCCCTTTGTTACCAGGCACAAACACATTGCCTTACATCACTCACACTGTAGCACCACTATGACACTTTCAAAGGGCAAATAAGACAGTACAACTGCCAACACTGACTTAGAGAAAAAACACAGATTGTTCTAATTATTTTGAAGTGAAAACTCCCACATAAACAAGTATAAAAGTCACTATGATTTTATTAACACATCATTGGTGTTGCTTAGTAAAACAATTCAGCTCAATGAAATAAATATGAAAAACTGTACTAAAAAGCTACAAATGTAAGCTTTCATGTCTTTTATGCAGACTTAGTTTAACACTGTTTCCTGTTATCAAAGGCCTAGATCTGTAGATCTACTACTGTACGTTTTATATCTGTAGTAGGTGAGGCAGACAATACGAGCAACAGAGAACACCTAAACCCGTTTCATAGTTGTTCAATAGCATGTCAGATGTCTCGTGGTCCTCGGATGATTTGATAACTGAGGCAAAGTCTGATCACTGCTTCCACAGACACTGAGTGCAATACTCTTAATAAACATGAATACAGATGGCAAATTAACAAGTGAGGGAATGTTAAAATGGCCAGCTCTTTGGTACAGCCATGTATCAAGAACCAGTTGGCCAAGATCTGGACAAAATGCATGAAATATTTGAAAAACGCTTCATCATCAGACTCTCGATAAAACCAACGGCACTCAAAGCACCTATTAAGTTAAATCAAGGACTATTTCAACATTTTAAATCATTTCCAAGTTTATGCTTTGTCTGTTACTGGTTTGGTTGTACTGGTGAATTAGGCACAGTGTCCGGTCCATCAGAGGCACTGGGTAAGCAAAATTTAACTTTCACTCCACATCAAACGTTCAAATTTGGGAGGCTGTCATAGCAACTGATAATGCAGGAGCTGACAAATAAGGGAGTAACTAACCAATAAGTGAAAAAACTTCACTGTAAATTGGGTCAAAATGTAAGAAAATGTTATTATAGTAGATAAGTTGCCAGATAACGTGCTAACACTTTGACTTACGCTGAATCCAGCAGCTACTTTATCATTTGCTACACTATTGCAAAGGAACACTTGGTAGTCAGCAGAGTAACTCCACCACTACCTTCCTTGCCAAACACCATACAGAAGCACTGCCCACCTAAAGCCGTGTTGTACACAAACCAAGTGGCGCTTGGTGCATCAAGACAGAGTTCCTTCTTTAACAGACAGACATTAAACTGCACACATCCTTGTTTAGGGACGGTTAGGTTGCCTTGACAATAACAGGGACTTTGACGGTGCCTGAAGATGCCTGATATTCATTCTCAACCTGATAGGTGACATCAGGATAAGCCGTAGCCACATCTGTCTGGTCTGGCTTGGTGACTGGATCGTCTTTGTCTTCCTGAGGCTGTAGCTGGTTGAAGGATCTCTCTGCTTCTTCTGACAAGCAGTTTTCCTCTTTCTCTTCCTCCCTCTGACACAGGGACCCAAGAAAGAAAACATCAATTGATTAAGAAATGCAAAATCACAGTAACATGCCTTCAGAACTACAGAACTTCACTGCAACATACCTCCTTCTTCATCCTGTAGTATTCATCAATGGCGTACTGATATTTAGCTGATGTTATTCCAAAGAGGGAGGCCATCCTCTCCCCCAGGTAGTCACAGGCTGGAAAATAACAAGGACACTTTGGCTACAATAAAAGCCAACACAGAGAATCCTCCACTGACAATGTGGCGCCCTGCCCGGACAAATTAAAGGCTACAATTCCAGTTCCTGGTAAGAATGAGGCCATATTTCTGCTAAATAAAGTTGTAATTTTTTTATCTGTGTGAGACATTACATGCACAGATTTAACTGAAAGGTGAGCCACTTGCATACAAGGACAAACATGATCAAAAGTCATTTGTGCTATGGTAAAATCAGGCAGTTTACTTGGAAACTGCTTGGTTACAATATGTTTCGTCCAGTTTAGCTTGATCAGAAGCTTCTCCATAAAAAAAAAAAACAAAAAAAAAAAACGGAAGCTTCCTTGTCTCTCCACTTCTCGCCACTGTTGTTGCTCTCCTCCTCCCTTGACCGGTAAAGGTCAACGAGCCGCTGACACTTAATGATGGTGGCAGGCGATGTGTGCTTGTGCAGAGAAGTGAGACTTTTAAAAAACAAATTCATTCCAATCTGGCTGTCCTGACAGCGGTTGCAAAGTCACAGATCATGATCTTTACCAGCAATTCAACTCAACTTTTTAGCAGCCACCAACACAGTGTTCCAGAAGGCAGCAGTCCCACTGTCATTTCTTCAGAAACTGCCTTCTTTAGTTGCCATTCTTTATACTGCTAGTGTGTTAAACTGCAATGTCTCAGTCTCTTAAAAAGCCGCATTTCAAACCTTACGTAGACACAGTTGCGCCGGCAGGATTATATTTCATAGTAAGCACAGGAGCTGCCTATGGCAGGGTACTGCTACCACCATGAGAAAAAATGTACTATGTATCTTGGTATAACAAGAAACCTCTCATTTTTATGAGATACTTTCATGTAAAAAAAGTGATAATTTTCTCATTATAACAACATATTCTATTTTGTCATTACAACGTGAGCCATGCGCAGCTTGGAGCCAGTGACAGCAGTGCACACTGTGACTTTGAGCAGAACCTCCTCAGCTCATTCAGCCCAGTGTCCTCTGTCTCATCAACACCCTCCCATACCAACTTCATATGCTATATGTTGATCTTACAATGACCATGAGTCTCCAGTGACATAAAAATTGAATGAACTCATTTAAGCAACTGTGCACACAGTGTGTACAGGATTATGGCTATGCCACTGGTTGGACACATAAACACTGTCTTTCTGTCTCTGCTATCATGTCTATAATGGATTTAATTGCTTGTCTCTCTATTGTAATCTCATTACTTTTGTCCATTTCAGGATCCTATAGGAACGGTAAGGTGAGCCGAGGCGGGCTGTTGACAGTTTGAGGTTAACCTACTCTGTGGCAGATTAGCATGAGTCACTGTGGTAATTTGTCTTGGTTGAAATTCATGATAACAGAAACCTGAGATAAGGCCAGACAGACTGGTTTGTGATAATGGGGTTCCTCAGGTAGTAAACAGTGATCTTAATGAACAGACCTGAGATGGTGGATGTGGCAGCTCTCCACATGTGGAACCAGAAGTATGGACCCCAGGTCATTTTTGACTGCAACACAAAAAGGTAGTCAAAGTGCCTTTATACTGTAGGTGAAGGAATAAAACGGTGCCTTGCGTAAATTCTCCTGATGCTTCTCTGTTGTACTGAGGAAACCCAAATTCCTTGTCCCTCACAAACTCACATGCACTGTACCTCCTCCATTGTTTGCATTGTTCTCATTCCCTCCTTATACATACATCCCCATCCCTTCATCATTCCTCACCCTCACCGCATCAACTGGGGAAGACAGCAGGTCTTTCCTCTCTGGCTCCTTGTCCTCTCCCTCCTCCTCGTCAGTGCTGTACTCCTCCATTGTCTCCCCGCTGGAGAAATGAATGATCCGACGGGGAACCTTCTCCCTCTGCTGCTGCTCATCCACTCTGTCTAGCAGCTCCACACTCTCAAAGCCCTTGGCCGGGTTTGGACCCTGAAGACATCATAAGCAAACACAACGACAGTGTTCGTTAATGTGGAGCAATTTCATAAGGGAGTCTGTCTGTCTGCCTGTGCAGCCTCCAGATGGGATAAAACACTGCTGCAAGGTTTGGAATCGACTTCATGAAAAATAAAAATATTGGTGCCTAGTGCAATATCATACAGTATCAACCGGACCGACAGTTGACAAGCGACATCGTTAGATACAGGCAGTAATTAAAACGGTAACGAGAAAATGTGGTGGTTATAAAAAAAAAAAAGAAGAAGAAGAAGGCTGTCTACCGACCTGCTGCACAGGCATGTTCTGTCCTATCGACACATTAACGTTTGTGAGATACAGCGATATATCAGCCATTGTCGCCTTCTTGTTTGTATCTGTGGACGCTGCGCACACGACGCCTCCTCTACAGCACGAGAGAACAGGAAGTGCCGTTTACCCCCCACCCCATCCACCGAGCGCGAGCGCAACGTCCATACGGCCTTATGGTGTTGAAGTGTACAGTGTATTTTATTTAGGCTGGACATTACATAATGTTAATGCAACAGTAAGCTGTTATATTTCAGTGAGCACATTTCCCATACACAAAGCGAATTTTATATTAGTCTTCACTTATTATAATGCTATCTTAATTGTTCAGCTAGCTTTAAGCTAGCCAATAACCGATCGAAAAATAAAAAGGTGCGTCGTAAGGTCACTTTGTATTAACGACACCTATGGGCTATGGAGAGTTGGTTGGCGAGTCTTCAGAATAATTCATTAAAAACAGAATTGATTTACTCCTTCTGCAAACGAAGCATGCACTATGTTTTTTGTAAATTGAAAAATGAGGTATAATAATGCACCTTATTGTATTTTTTTTAAACTAGGGTATTATAGAAGTAATGTCAAGAATCTCAAGTTTGACAAAACAGCCCCTATTTATATTAATTTAAGGTGTTCCTGTGTAGTGTTTTTGTTTTATTTTTGTTTTTCTTTATGTTATGTATTAATGCTTTCACTACAATATCACTATTGCTTATTTTTCAGACCTTTTTATGCATCTGTTGTCTAATGCACTGAGTAGAAATTCACAAAACCTACAAGTTTAGAGTACAGACGTTTTTCCAAAAACATTTTGATGTGTTAAAGTATGGAAAGCACAGATGTAAACATAAAATTCTTGATATAGCCAAACATGTAGCTGCTTCAGTTTAAGTTTCTGGTACTATGCTGTCTCACTGTGACGCTAGATGAAAACAGAGCCGTGCTTCATCTTATCAGTAACAAATGTACTCTTCCTACTATCAAAATGAATGCAGTAATAAAAGAGTCAAGTACAAACTTGTGACTTTCAAAAAATAGAAATGTTGTAAAACCTGATTTAAAACTTACTGAACAGGGAAACAAGGCTTGGAATTGATGTTAATTTTAACTGTGACTTTGTAATATATAATATTTGTAATATGTAATATTTGCAGATGATGAGTCTGATATATATA